CACCAAAAATAAGTGAACAACAGATGTTGCATGCCTATTAATAAATTTCACTAGAAATTCTAATTCAAGACCAATAGCATAGTTCCAGAATTTGGCGAGACCATCAATAATTTTCAGGAGAAGCACAATAATTAAACATCAATTCTAATGAATATGGAAAGATTACAGGATAAAAGAAGAATTTTCAGCCTGGTTAAAGTCTAATTTAGGATTATCAGTCTGGGACCCTGGACAAGATTGCACATTGTCCTCACTCATTTGCATAAAACTGTAACAGGCAGGCAATCTAACAGGTTGCTATGGTAACAAAACGGCTGAGCAATTTCAATGTTACACATATGACAAAAAGGACATCTGTCATGACAGTTCTAGGGACGGGATAACAATGATACCGTAACTGATGGAAATGCAGACATTTCAATGTAGCCAGAATAAACAGAACAGCTTAAACCTTTGTTTATTTAAGTGGTAGCTACTAAAATCACCAGTATCAATAACATTAGAGAAAATTTTGAAATTTAAAATGACATTCAATATATTCTGAGGTCAGATAAAAACCAAGAGGAAAACACACTTTAAAAGCTACTTGCTTCGATCACCTCCATGCTTATGATTCACCAACTTGCCATCAAATTGAAGACATTTAAACATAAATTTTGCAAAGAGACAAAAAATAAAGAAATGAAATTTGAAATAAGTTAACACAAAGCGTGACATTATCCCCTGTGCACTGCTGTTTAAGTGAAAGACACACAATCGTATATATATATATATATATATATATATTACTGTTACAATACATTGAATTTCTATGTGTTATTTATAATTGTTCCATGCAAAGTATTGAAATGGAGTACTAGAGTACTGGCTTGATGCATGGACAAAGCTTTGAGTACTAGGTAATTACCTTGAATGGTTTGAGAGAACTGGTCTGAAAAAGCTGAACTTTGTGATTTGGCCTCTCTGTTTCCATGGTAACAGGAAAAGGTTTTAAATGGAGAATTTACCAATAAAAGATACTACTAGCTTCATAAGTGTAAAAAGTTTTGAGTACTGGTCCAGAAAAACTTAAATTTGTCATGAGGGTTATCTGTTTCCATGGTAACAGAAAAAAGATTTAACTAGGGCACTAACCTAATAAAGATAGAAAGTTTTGTTGAGTTGAGTTGAATGGTTTCAAAGTTGAAGCCCCTAAAGGAAAGTTAACACTAATTTTGTGCTTTTTAGGTATGTTTCCATGGTAACAGAAAAATATAAAAAAAGGAAATGTCATCAATAGCAAATGGCACAACTAGGGCACTAATTTAATATATACAACAAGTTTTGTGAAGTTGAGTGGATGGGTTTGAAGTTATAGGCTGGAAAAACCCTTGGACAAAGGAACCAGGTTATAAATATGAAGGAACCAGGTTATAAATATGATCTTATCATTTCAGTGTACTTACGTGATTACATGGGATAAATAATTGCGGGATCGGTTTCTGCGTGTCGTTGTGTTGTCATCTAAGAGAACTTCTAGCTTGTGACTGCAAAAAAAAAAAAAAAAATAATACTAATAGAGAAATGAAAATCTTTACACTTCTAGCAGAGATATACATACATTAGGATAAGAAAGGCATTTTTCTGTATGAAAATCTCATAAATATATTATACTTACCTGAGTATAACCACATATGATATGATAAAGTACAAAATGTCTTACATTTATAGCTAAAACATTTTACAGGTTGTTGCTACAGTCTGGGCAATCTACCAGAGTATATCGATTTCAAACTTATTATTCCTCCATTTCAAAAACGAAATTTCATTTCAAAGTTAATCAAATTTATGATTAAATTGCAACTAATATTTCTTTTCTTTTTTTTTTTTTTAAATTTTCATATCGCACCTGTGTAACCTTGAAAGTAAGTCAGGGTCACAGGTACCAATAGAGGTGGTATTGTAAAAGGAATAGTACAGTATCTTCAAATCAAATTGTAATCAAATTATGACTGAAATACCATCTGGTCCACGCTGATTCTTTTAACTAAATATAAACTTTATTTTACAGCAACTGCAAAACAAGCTATAAACTTACAGCAATCACTCTTGTTTGTCTAGATTGAAACAAGTCATGGGTCTTACTGTGAGAGGAGAACAGAATACCTAGGAAAACCCACATGATTGAGCAGGTGACCCTTGTACTTTTTAATCTACACTGAGGGAATCAAACCCCTGACATCTAGGTGAAAGGCAAGTGCACCACCTGACCACAAAATTTTTTTTTAACTCTATCACTGGATTAAACTGTCTGTTACTTTATCAATACTGTGTTAATCCTGCAAGCCATGTGGGCTAAAACATTATCTCTGACTCCAAGGCAAGAGATGGGCTTAATACAGGACCTCAAGTAACCCACACATCAACTTGGACTCAAACAGAAGAGAAGGGCTTATTTCAGGACTACAAACTTCATTTAGTGGTAATTCTATCGGGACGAAATGGTTATAGCTTATTATCAGATATGGAATTATTGCTGGATAAATATGGTTATCACTCAAATGACTTGAGGTCTGATGGTTCAGTAGAAGATGTTTAAATGGAAAATGATGATGGTAGGATATTATAAGTTCACGGGTAATTAATTCTTAGTGAAATAAAATCATAAAATAATTGCATTTATTAACTTATTAACAGTGATTTGTCCAATAGTATGTCATCAAACATAATACTGCAACATCATTAATTTTCGTGGGGGTGGTGTAGTCAAATTTCACAAAATGGATACTGTCCAGAAACTGTAAAATGAAGTGTAAGTAGACTTATTGAGCTATATTTAATCATGAATTGGCATTTTCAGAAAGTGTAACATTAAAGTAGATTTGTTGAGCTGTTTCATCCATGAAATCAAGTGTCCACTTTTTTTTAACTACAAAAATTAAGTCCCACAAAAACATGTAATGTTACAGTAAACACAAATGCAATTTTAACTATGATATTCAAATCCTAAAATGAAAACTGACACCTTGTATAACTTCTATGTTTAATGAGATGTGTACAGAACTTTACGAAGGCAAAACATTTATAGAATGTAGTTTTTTCAGGTCAATACAAGAGTTTAGAAAGAAGTGATTATTTGCAAGTTGAAAACTCTCACAAATACACCGCCAGAGTACTTGTATTCTAATGTAATAAGCACATTAAGTTGTTACCAGTCTCTCAGACATAAGAACACTTATGGTCTGTAAACATTTTGCCAATATATTCAACTTCACCTTGTGTCAGGTAATAAATATAGAATATAATAACTAATGCATGGTTTCCTAGTGAAATATTGATGTTTCACAGGTGTTGCAAATATGTCTGCATGAGTTTAAAAAATATACCAGGATAAACAACATATACACTTACATATACTTATGAACTAGTGATTTGGACATATTCAGGTGACATATATATCTTACTTGTTCAAAATAGAAGAAATTTGATTTTTGTCCTTTTTTCTTTCTATTTTACTTTCTATTGAACTGGAAAGTAATACCATGACTAAAATATTATTTTGGTAAAGACCGATGTCACCTCTTCGGAAATCTTACATAACCATATATATATATATATACCACTGAGACAATGGAATTTAACAAAATATTGTCTGTTTCTAAAATAAATGCAAAGTTTTTATAACTTTGATGTTTTATTACGTTGTATCAATCATATCTTTATTCTTTCCTGTAACAAATTCATGTGCCTAAGAAATCATATTAAATCTTTTTTTTTAAACTATAAAATGCCTATGGAAACCCGTAACTAATCATGTGATAAATATGATTCAATGGCAGTATGGGGTAATTATGAACCCAATCTATTAAGAGGTTTTCAAAAATATAGTGTGGTACTGATTTAGAATGTGGACAAGAACGACATTAGTTACACTAGTTACCTCATAAAAATAGAGGGGGAGTGGGGGAGTGGGGGGGGGGGGGGGGGGGGGGGGAGGGTACAAATAATAAAATATCCTGCATAGTCAGATTGATTAGATAGGAAATGATACACGAAACCAATCACTACATAATACTGTGGTAGGTACACCTGGTCTACACTACCAAATCTTTATCTATACAGAAAGTTAAGCCTGGGCATTAATGGGTCTCATTAATGTTCCCGAATTCAGGTTTGGTCATTAGCTAATGTAGAGGCCATGTCTCAGGTTATACATACCCATCTAACTAAGACTGGATATTCAATAACAACAGTGAAAACAAATGTAATATCAGATGTTACCCTGTGTGCATAGATAATAAGCCCGCAAGCCTTCTGATCTAGCTTACTTATTGCTCTACCTATAAGTAAATGGTGAACAAGTTTAGCTTTGGCTTTAAGTATATCATTCTTTCTTTTAACTTAATACCAGAACGTTTATTAATTACCCCTTCAATTAAAAACCCTTCCTGAAATATCGGTCTCAGTAGGATCTGTTATATCATGAAACCTTTTTACACTTCATCACAGGATTCTGTACATAGTAAAGCTCAGTTCTAAAGTCAAGTACATTAAATTTTTGTTTAAAAAGTTAAAATTATTTACTACAGTGTATAATTGTAAGCACTCAGCCACAGACATGTATCTATGTACTGTTACCCAATGTCAGATAAGTTCCTATGCGCGAATTACAAACCAAACTAGAAACGTCTCAAGTATCTTAAATATGGATAAGTATCATAGTTTGATGATTAGCAGAAGTTGTTAAATGTGATCTGTGACCCTTTATCATTGACCACCTGAATGTGGTTCTGGGTTCTAATGGGTTCTGATACCATATTTAAGTCAATAAACTTTTGAGAAATAGTGACCAAACAGTATAAACAGTATGTCTGTCATAACTTTTAAGATGTACACAAATTACAACCATGACATTCTGGTGACATCACAAACCAGGCCTCAATTACCACACACAGATTGTAAACATGATAGATTTGTAGATACGGTAAAAAGTTGTCCCCACACTTACCCTCATTATACCCATGACACCACAAAGCAAGGTCAAAGTTCTCACATCTAAAGGTCAAGGTCAGTCAAGTGGTAAAACCACAACCACCATGCATGACAGTCCCTATAGCCTAGAGTCAGCATGTAAGGATCTGTATACTGATATGTCTGTCTTCCAGTTCATAGAGTTTATACAAATGCCACAAAGTCTGTCTGACCAGTCTATTGTACCTCATACCAAAGTATGTTCAATAATAAGAATATCCTGCTAACTTCAACTACTCTGTTGACTTCAGACACAAATTAACAGAGTCAATTAAATTTTATAAAGACATATATAAACAGTACAATATAAAGTAATGACTTCACAGTGACTTATGCAAAGACACGAAAACAAAATGTAGACCTACTGTATAGAGGTCCATTAAAATTAACCATACTTTGAACAAAAGAACCAAAAAATAAAGGCCAGAACCAGCCCCAAAAAGGCTTAACAGCTTAATGATATATCTGTGTAAACATTTCTTCTTGACAATGCTTCATTAACAGCCAACCACTTTGAAATTACCTCCCCGAAACTATAGCTTAATGTCTGTGGACATTACAAGTATACGATTATATATCTTGATTAAGTTAAAATTTTCTTTAACTTACCTACAGATCTTTAAATGAATGTGTAAACCAGGTGACAGAGTAGTAGGTATGACACAATGGGAGAAATATAGTATCTGTTACCCCTTCACCTGCTCCATTCATAATCACCACTCAACTATACCATTCATTCAGATTTTCCGGCCAGCAGCATCAGTGTGTAACGCAATGAATAATGAATGGTTTCCGCATTGACTTGCAAAGAACACAATAATAACATATCCTCTTTATCTACCTGGCTAACCTGAATTATATACTCCATCACTACAGACAGAGTACACGTGGAGTGAGAACTGGAAGGGGCCCATATCATGTAGCGGGGTCACTATAGGTATAGCACAGGTGGAGTGAGAACTGGAAGGGGCAATGTCAGGTAGCAGGGCCTCTACAGGTACAGCACAGGCAGAGTGAGAACTGGAAGGGGCTATGTCATATAGCAGGGCCTATACAGGCAGAGTGAAAACTGGAAGGGGCAATGTCATGTAGTAGGGCCTCTCCAGGCAGAGGGAAAACATTTGAGGCAGCAAGAGAAGGGATATCACAATGTCATCACAGGTTATAGGCAGCAAGGGAAGGGATAGGTCAAACATCAATGTAGGTTATAGGCAGCAAGGGAAGGGATTGATCAAACATCAATGTAGGTTATAGGCAGCAAGGGAAGGGATAGGTCAAACATCAATGTAGGTTATAGGCAGCAAGGGAAGGGATAGGTCAAACATCAATGTAGGTTATAGGCACCAAGGTAAGGGATAGGTCAAACACCAATGTAGGTTATAGGCAGCAAGGGAAGGGATAGGTCAAACATCAATGTAGGTTATAGGCAGCAAGGGAAGGGATAGGTCAAACATCAATGTAGGTTATAGGCAGCAAGGAAAGGGGTAGGTCAAACACCAATGTAGGTTATAGGCAGCACCAATGTAGGTTATAGGCAGCAAGGGGTAGGTCAATGTAGGTTATAGGCAGCAAGGGAAGGGGTAGGTCAAACATCAATGTAGGTTATAGGCAGCAAGGGAAGGGATAGGTCAAACATCAATGTAGGTTATAGGCAGCAAGGGAAGGGATAGGTCAAACATCAATGTAGGTTATAGGCAGCAAGGGAAGGGATAGGTCAAACATCAATGTAGGTTATAGGGGATGGATCTTCATGTCACTGTAGGTTACAGGGGATGGATTACAATGTCACTGTAGGTTACAGGGGATGGATCACAATGTCACTGTAGGTTACAGGGGATGGATCACAATGTCACTGTAGGTTACAGGGGATGGATCACAATGTCACTGTAGGTTACATGGGATGGATCACAATGTCACTGTAGGTTACAGGGGATGAATCACAATGTCACTGTAGGTTACAGGGGATGGATCACAATGTCACTGTAGGTCACAGGGGATGGATCACAATGTCACTGTAGGTTACAGGGGATGGATCACAATGTCACTGTAGGTTACATGGGATGGATAACTCTGTTACAGGTAACAGGCAGTATAGGAGGTGGTTCTGTCACAGTGGGTAACAGGCAGCATGAGTGGGCCCTGTGTCACAGTATGTAACAGGGAGCATGAGAGGGCCCTATGTCACAGTATGTAACAAGCAGCATGAGAGGGCCCTGTGTCACAGTATGTAACAGGCAGCATGGGAGGGCCCTGAATCACAGTATGTAACAGGCAGCATGGGGATGCCCTGTGTCACGTTATGTAACAGGCAGCATGGGAGGTCCCTGTGTCTCAGTATGTAACAGGCAGTAATTACGAGGGTGCTGTATCACAGTAAATTACAGGCATCTTAGGGCTCCTGTACTTTGTGTCAGAGTAGGTAACTTGTCGAATGCTGTGTTAAAATAGGTTGAAATCAGCTTGGAGGGCATTCTGTCATAGAAGGTTACAGATAGTATAGGACGGGGTTGTGTACAGTAGGTTACAGCTAGCATGGGAACGTGTTGTGTCTTATTAAGGTTACAGGGAGCTGCCTTAAAATCTATTAATGTCACAGTTAGACGCTCACAATAAAAGGTAACTGAAGTCACTATCAGACAGGATATAGCCTTAACAGTTAAAAACCTGTCTAACTGAAATCTATAGGTGAGCTAAAAATGATTTGGTTAATATTGTTACTGAGATGTTCCTTAGATAACCTTTTCTTCTGGTCTGGGTATCTAAGACCGTCCACATATTTTGTTTCTGTCTAACTTGGAAACAAACACATTAAATCAACCAAGCATTAGATATCTTAAATTATAAAACTCAGAAAAGCTGAATCGCTTCTGCTGACTTTATCTTCAATAATTTAACTGAGAACACATCTTGATAATACACAATGTCATATAAATACAGTGTAACAAATACAAGTTAACTTACTTGATGGTGGCAACTGTATCATTCCTCTTTCTGTTTTAGGTGAAAAATTCAAATAACAGATCTTCAGAATCTCTATGAGAACTAAATCACATGATTTGATTTCAAATGGATCGACTGCCAGATCAGCCCTTGTACAGATAAGAAGCAACACCAGAATAAATATTTTGCATGCTTGACAGATGATGCAACTGTATACATTCTGTAGGATATTAAACCTGCCCATTTACTCTACAAATCAATACCTTACATCCGTTCACAATAAGATAACATTTTCTTTTTAGTAGTTGAACACAGACGGGTTTTTTTTAATAAAATCAGAACAGAACAATTTTTGATTGGAACAATCTTTTTGGAAATCAGAGAAAGATTTATAATCACTTCAGTGGTATTGTTTGATTGGTGTAATATTACAATATTTTAGAAACAACAAGCCCTGAGGGGGTTTTAAGTCTGTAGTTATGGATATGATTTCATAGCTGTTTTGTAAAACTCATCTTATGTAGCATTTACATAATTCTCAGCATAACGCTCATCTCTGGTGCCTCTTTTTAATTCCTAGCATGGGCTTATTAGTGATAATATGGTACATGATCTGAATATTTATAGAAACTATAGGGAATGGAATATTAACACCAAGACTCTCCTCTGGTTGGCGCAGTGGTAATGCACCTCACCTTTCACCTAACCATCCACACCAAGAGCAGATTAATATAAGCTGAATGCTTGTTTCACAATTGTTGTGAAATAAATAAAGTTTATAAAGCATCAACACTGATATTCTAGAACGCATCACAACTACCAAATATCTCAAATACAAGTTGACCTTGATTATATAGTGTGACCTTGGTTTATTGGAGGCACCAACCTTAAATGGCTGAAATGACATGGAATAATCCATCCCAAACATCCCCATGCCTAGCTGTTATATCTAATAACCACCCCCATCACACACCTAGCTGTTATATCTGATAACCACCCCCATCACACACCTTGCTGTTATATCTGATAACCACCCCGATCACACACCTCGCTGTTATATATAATAACCACCCCCATCACACACCTAGCTCTTACATCTGATAACCACCCCCATCACACACCTCGCTGTTATATCTAATAACCACCCCCATCACACACCACGCTGTTATATCTGATAACCACCCCCATCACACACCTCGCTGTTATAACCACCTTCATCACACACCTAGCTGTTATATCTAATAACCACCCCCATCACACACCTAGCTGTTATATCTGATAACCACCCCCATCACACACCAAGCTGTTACACACCTAGCTGTCTCACACCTATAGTTCTTGTATCTAACAATCATTTCAATCACACACATGGCTTGTTAAGATCAGACAACAACCTCATTGCAATCCCAACTTGTAGATCTGATAACCACCTTTTCCACATCTAGCCTGCATATTAACACCAAATCACATATATTAATTGCATTTTGCCTTTTGATATTAAATGCACAGAAAGCAATATAAAATGACACATTTCCTGATACAGCAATATCAATGTGAATTAAATTGCCTTGAGTCAGTCTACATGTAAACCAATGCAATGTAACAATAAAAGTAAATTTTGTAGATGTGAAGCATGAAAGTTTTCTTTTCAGAGAAATTGATTTGTGAAGCAGTGCTAGGAATATATGAACAATCAGTAAAACAGATCAGGTCGTAGAGCCTAAACTATTATTCATATGATATACCCTAAATACAAGCTGTTCTCAACATGGTTTTTACAATATGATAAAAAGGGTTAAAAAGACATTAGTAGAGGATTTTTGTGATTTTAGAGAAATATTCAATATCTTACCATTTTTATGTATTAATAAATCATGTTCCAAAAATCTAGGTCGAAGTGATCCAGTCCTGTAAAAGACCAAAAGTTGATGGTTTCTACATCAACATCTACACACAATGTAACCGAGCACTTAACACAGCTGCGTCCTCTATGACATCATCAATTTAGAAGACCACAAGATATACTGCAGAGGATAATAGTCTTCTGCGGAATAAAAAAGTGATTTGAAGGCCTCTGTGGCGGAGGAGAGAAGATACCAAGGCTAGCGAAGGTGTACAGGAACATTGCCTCTATTCATTATTCATTCCGCCTGTTGTTCTAGCATTTGGCAATAATTCCTGGACACCCCCATTCTGTAAACTCCCATGGAGTTTGATATAGTGCTACAATTAAACTCTGACTAGGACGGCTGTCAAA